CAGGAGAGAATCCCAAACCTTTTAAGACGCAAATCTTTTCTCATAAGTAAAAACCATCTCTGTCTTACAAGTGGGGATAAGATAAAGACACTAGCACATCCATGTTCATTGCTGCACTCCCCACAATAGCCACGTTATGGAAACAGCTCAGATGCCCTACAAAGGCTGAGTGGGTCAAGTAGATGTGGTATACACATAACAATGGAAAGAATAGGATGTTGTTTTTAGGGAAATGAATGGTCCTAGAAAGAATTATGCCCGGTGAAATAAGTCAGACTCAGAGAAACAAACAGTGCATGTTTTCTCTCATATGTGGAAGCTAGATCTAAAATACAACCATATGTGATAACATATACAAGGTTTTATGCATATAGACAGAAACTGACTAAAGGATGGTCTACTTATGGGAAGATGTTGATGGTGTAACTCCTCTGAACAACTAACCAACTGTTTAACAAAATGAATACCAGGAAGTGATACTCATAAATGGAGGGAGGAAGGGTGAGCAAATATAGTCATTTTAATCAATGAACATTATGTAAAAATTCAACTATGTAATTAGAAGGGAGGGAAAACAATGGAAGGGGTGTATAAGGTGCATTCTACTCACAATCTGGGTTATGGAACTGTAACCTCTTTGAATAGTTACTTAAAAGAGAATTTTAGTTATTAGCAGAAAAATGTAATCTCTGCCTTCCAAGGCCATTTGACCTACAGGTACTCTCCAGAAGAGTCTAGAACAGAGCCACTTGTTCAATAGATGGGAGAGAGTATGAGGAACCCAGAGAGAACAGCCTCCTGACACACAGACACAGACGCGTCTCGACCAGGAGGGGGATGGTTAATTCATTAGGCACACAGATACCCAAGAGCCCAGGTTGTCCTGAAGCCCAAGTTGAGAAAGATTGCTATTCTGAAAGTCTTGTTGTTTCCTTTGATTAAAAAAAAAATATTCTCAGGGGCTGGGAAGGTGGCTCAGTGGTAGAGTGCTTGCCTTGCATGCCTGAGGCCCTGGGTTCAATTCCTCAGCACCACATAAGCAAAAAAGAAAAAAGCTGGAAGTGGCACTGTGGCTCAGGTGGTAGAGCACTAGCCTTGAGCTGAAGCGCTGAGGGACAGCGCCCAGGCCCAGAGTTCAGGCCCCATGACCGGACCCCCCCCCAAAAAAAATTCTCTCTCTCTCTCTCCCCTTCTCCTGCCTCCCCCTACATGGATTGCCAGACTGGGAGCTGACACAAGCCTTTTGTTCATAGCTGGCACCACTCTACCACTTGAGCTCCACCTCCATTTTCAGGTGGTTTTTTTTTTTTTTTTTGCTGGTCTATTGAAGATGCATTTCTTAGATTTATCTGCCCAGTCTGGCTTTGAACCATGAACCTCAGATTTCAGTCTCTTGAGTAGCTAGGATTATAGGTGGAAGCTGCTGGTGCCCAAGTTCAAAAATGTTGTAAATTAAAAATGGGAAATAGAATACCAGAAATTCTCTGAAAGGTGATCTCAGTGAACCAGTTTGTGCAAGATTATGCAACGTATGTATGCTAATATTCTAATATTTTTTTGACACAGTGTTGGCATGATGTTTTATAAAATAATTAAATTTCTAAAATAAATTTTTTGATCCTTTACAAAAATAGTAACTTAGAAAAGCAGGAAAAAAATTAACCTGGAAAGCAAGAGGAGATATTTTATAATAAAGCTCATATCTACATTCGTTTGCTTTCAAAAAAAATTGGACAGCCAGGCACTAGTGGCTCATACCCATCCTTCCTAGCTACTCGGGAGGCTGAGATTGGAGGATCATCTCATCTCCAGTTCATTTTGGAAGGGGAGCTGTGGCACACGTGCTAAAGTGCTAGCCCTGAGCAACAAAGCTCAAAGAAAGTGCCTAGGCCCTGAGGTCAAGCTCCCAAGTCCAACACACACACACACACACACACACTCACACATAACACATACACCACACACACACACACACTCACACATAACACATACACCACACACACACACACACTCACACATAACACATACACCACACACACACACACACACTCACACATAACACATACACCACACACACACACACTCACACATAACACATACACCACACACACACACACACACTCACACATAACACATACACCACACACACACACACACACAGTTGGACAGTGTCTTAGTGAGCTAGCTGTGAACTGTACCAACTTCTTCCCTCCACTGTCAGACGTGAACCTGGTTGTGTGGGATGTAAATACATTCATTCACCCATTTCCCGCCTCCCTCACATTCTTTCCCAGAGATGAGACAAGAGCAAAATGCCTTCTCCTAAGCCACATTTCCAGCACAGTTGCCTTTCTCAGACCTTCCATTTCTCCTGTCATAGGCTTCACCTCCACCCACTGTTTCAAGACTTGTGTTTTGCGGCCACTTAGGCATATTACAGCTCACCAAGTTTGTGTCCATTTGGGACTGTAAATAGTAAACAAATGTCCAGCTGAGGAAAACCCAGGAACACAGACACAACAGTGTAAACCTAAGTGCTGTGTGTGTGAAAGGTTGTCTGCATGAAACAGCGTGTACACAATCGCGTAACACACGTGCTAAGCAGCTGCAGGAAGAACACGGGAGGGAAATAGGCAAATGGCACCACCCTGACCTTGGGTCAGACTTGCTCGTTTTGAATTTAGGACAAGATGAAGAAAACCTAACTAAGCAATAGATTCTTTCCTTTTGCATTTGCTGTTTCAGTAATTTCCTTTCCAAGAGCAAGGAGTATTTTCCACCCTTCCTCAACCAAAAAAACCCCAGCAAAACACAGGTCTTTTTTTTTTTTTTAAGAAAAATGGAAGATTAAGTGTAGAATAGCAATATGATTTATGAGCTTTATTTTTAAGGCCTATACATTTAGTCACATTGTTTGTCTTCACCCTGCAGCTGTCCTCCCTCTGAGTGGATATATGGTCACCATTTAATCTAGCGGCTGTTTATGACCAGGCAGACTGGATGGGGTGTGATACCACAGCCCACCGTCCACCATCCCCACTGCCCGCCCTCCCCACACCTTGAATAATTGCTGGAGATTAAATGGCAATTGTTTGGCTAACTGTGCCCTTAAATTCCCTGTCAGAGCTTAACTGATCCTTCCTCTCTTTCCCTTTCTGATTCCACAGACACCCTCAAAGGTTCATTTTCTGCTGAAGAGTCACTTTCATAGCTGGTGATTCAGATTGTCTCTAGATTTATAGGCCTCTTGCTCCAGGGTGAAAGAGGTTCTGTGCCTTCCAAATGAATGGCTACATAGGGGAGTTGTAAATAAGTTCTTCAGAGAACAATATTTTGTAATCCCAACCCCTCCCTCCTGTTCTGATGATAATGTAGAAAGCCTGCGCTGTGAAATATCTACCGGTTCAGTAATGGAGAATTTCATGTACCTGATTTATACACGTTACCTTGGTTGCCCTTCCTGTGGCTTTGTAAAGTATTTAAAAAGGATTAAAGACCTTATCTTGCCACCAAGAGAAGCAGTTGGTACCCTAAGAGATGAACAGATTGTAGCCTGCCCTCCCAGAGCAGGTCTATGGCCTCCTGAGCAGACTAAACAGTGGGCAGCCTGGAAGAACAGAGAATGGCCATGCAGAGAGGGAGGTGCTGGGCAGCGGTGCCTTCTCTGGTGGGCTGCTGGAGGAGCGCGGGCTCCTGGGGAGGCAGATTAGATAGCCAGCCTCACACCTGGAGCAGGGAACTGGGTGCTGGCCAGAGCCTAGACACCAAGGGAATGGAGGCAGAGAACCGGAGCTTGGGTGCTATTTTGAGGTGCACCTGGGAAGTTGTGGTATTGGGTCTGGGACAGAAGGGTCGAGGACAGTGCAGAGGACTGTGGAGTAATAAGAACGATGCTCGTGGAGACTGGTTTGGGCTGGATAGAGTGAATCGAGGGTGGAGACAGTTGGTATGTGAATATCCATGTGTTGAAATATTGAATGGAGAGGTTGCATGTGGCAGGGTGCTAGATCACCCGCCTAGTGTGTAGAGTAGCTCTGGGCTAGGAAAATAATGGAAAGAAATGAGCTTTCAACATGTGCTTTTAAAGGAATTTGGAATATCATAGTCGGAAGGTAATTGAATAATCCAGATTGATGCAGATGTGTGTGCTTCACATCTCCTCCAGAGTCTGCAGGTCCACTGACCTTGTCAGCTGTTCAGAAATTGAAACTATGAAGGAATGCTCAGGTCACTACAAATCTTTGATGTCCATGGACTTCTTCCCCCCCCCCCAAAAAAAAAAACTCATTTGCCCTTCCTATAGCAATCTTGCTTCTTAGAGACATTTTTTCCCCCTGCATTTTCAAACATATGCGATCAGATGAAAGAGCTTTTAATGTTAAACTAATATGTCTTGATCTTTGACATCTACAGGCTGTGGGGTTAACTTTTCCTATGGACAGAAGAAATGGATGCAGAGAGGCCCCCAACTTAGGGAGGTTCCAGTTAGGCGTTTTGGACTTGATGAAGGGTACACATTTTTACTTTTGGTAGAGACCAGGCTTTGCATCTTGATTTTAGCCTGGTGGGAGGTAATTTAAGAGCCAGCCTCCCATCAGCCACCTGGGAACGAGCGGGGACGGCTGGTGTGCTGTGCTGCGGAGTGTTGTTCAGCTAGGATCTTCAGGAGGTGAGGTACACTCTTCACAGTATTTTCGACTTAACCATGGGTTTATCGGACTGCAACTCCCATTGTAAGTCAAAGAACACCTGTATCTTAGAAAGTTGTAGCCACTGTGTTTTGCACTTACTCAGATAGATAAGATTGCATTCTCCACCAACCTGGAGAAGTAAAATCGTATGTGTGGTGTGGGGCGGTGACTCACTTTGGGAGGGTTCGGAGAGGACTGCGCTGGTCTGGAGCAACGGAAGCTGCACTCTGGCCAGAAGAGTCGGCTATGGAGCACGTGGTGTTCTGTGATCTTGTCCTGTTCATCCTGTCCTTCAAACTTCCTCCTTAGGCTAAGCCAGACCCGGCCGTCGATGGTCCAGTGGCTTAACCAGCAGTCTCAGAGCACGCCAGGCACCAACGCCGCTGTGACTCCTCCCTCACCCCGGTCCGCGTCTTTCCCCATCTCTCCTGCTGCCTCTCTTGTGGACAAGCTTCCTGAAAGGTACGTGGCGTGGAGCAGGATGTGGATGGTGATCATGGCACACACAGAGAGAGGCTGTACACACTGACAGCAGAGAAGTGGGTGTAAGATCAGTGTGTGTATGTGAGTATAAGTGTTTAGAGACACTGCAGTGAAACCCTTTACTTGGTGCAATAATATACACTAATAAGTGTACTTGTAAAAAGCCAGTCATAATGTAGTTATAAGCCAGTCCGCCTTCTGTCCCATCCCTTCTATAAAACAGCGGAACACTTGCATAGAACCCACAATGGTATCAGTCATGTCTAGCTAACCTAATATTTAACACCGTGTAAAACAGTTGTTACACTGTCTTGAGGGTGGGAAACACGCCAGGACACCTTGGATAATCAGATGCAGTTTGGACTGGAATATTTCCACTCCAGTGTCGGTTGAATCTGCAGACGTGGAGTCCAGAGACCCGCAGCGTGGACTGCTGTGTGTGTCACGGGGGCGGGTCTCAGCCGAGTCCCACAGAACCCGCTACTTCTTCTGCGACTGTGCAGTTATCGACTTGGTTACTTTGGAAAAACGTTTTGTCGGTGCATATAGAACACCTTCTTTGTATTGAAGGAAGGCAGCCTGGGCACGGGGAACATGAACGCTTGCGGCCACTTACTGAGCAGAAGATCTGTAGAGGGCAGAGGGTGTGGCCATCAGCAGACTTACCGGCCAGGATGTGGGCGGAGGTGGTTCTGACTCCCGTGAAAGGGGGTGCTCTCTGCCCTGACGTGGGGTGCCCTTCTCCCGAGGAGTTTGCCCTGCTGCTGACACAGGCGAGGCGTGAGAAGTGGGTGGGATTCACGCTGCCAGACGTTGCAGTTTCCTTCAAGCCTTGCTTCGCCCTTCGCCCTGCAGCATTCTTAGTCGGAAGGCCCGCGCCGTGTACCCCTGCGAAGCGGAGCACAGCTCGGAGCTGTCGTTTGAAATAGGAGCCATCTTCGAGGACGGTGAGTGTGTGGGAGCTTTGTGGTGCTGTGTGGTGACACCGGGATGTGTCACATCCACAGGGGACACAGTCACGGCTGGTGGCTGTGCTGGGACGTCATCACTGCCCATCGCCTTGTGGCGATGTCCCTGCATGTGGGCACTGGTCGTGTCTGTGCTGGGGTACCCTGGGGACCGAGAGCTGCCCCCTTTGAGGCTCCCAGAGCCCCACGGTGCCGGGTTGTTGGGAAGTATTTGCTTGGACTGCTCGGAGTTGAGAAGCTAGCTCTCCTTCACAGCTTCTCTATTCTCGCTTCTCCTGAGACCCTCACGGAACCCCTCCGGCGCTCAGGTCACTGTCGCTGTCCCCACAGCGGAGCCCCACGGCCACGCGCTCCCTTCACACCCTCGCCCCACGCCCGCTACCTGTGGACTGGAGCTGGGCGTGACTCTCTGTGTGTGGGCATTGACTGGAAACATGGCGGGGGTTTTCATTTGAGTGCTTTAATGTTCACACGTGGGCCTTGAGGACCTCGGCCTGACTGCATGTTCCACACATTGCCCTGTGGTTTTGTCTGTGTGACCCCCCCCTTTCTTCCCTCCCTAGACCTGCTCATTATGAAATTCACCAGTTGCTGTGGCAACAGTGATGGGGTGTGTGGGTGGAGCTCCCCAAAAGAGTTCTGGGGAAGCGGGGTGCTGGGCTGGAGGAGGGCACGGCTGATCAGCCCCAGAATGTAGCAACCCGGGGCAGAATGGGAGCCTGGCATCCACGCAGCTTAGCTGAGGACTGTGTCTCAGTGAGTGACTTACTGCCTTAGAATAGGGGTGTGTGTGTGTGTGTGTGTGTGTGTGTGTGTGTGTGTGTGTGATTTGTGCTGCCAGCGTGAGAAAACAAGCAACAACACCACAGTGCACACAACAGAATGATACTTGGGAGAGCAATTTTGCTTTTGGAGCATTGGCAGGACCGTTCCTCTGTCCTCATGTCATCGTCCAGCCACCGCGGCCGCGCAGAGCCTGCTGGAGGCCCGTTCTACAGCAGCGCGGCGGATGGCAGAAGGAGCGCTCAGACGCGCATGTTAAAATGCTCCTGTGCAAGGAATGGGGGTAATTTTTTACTTTGTGTGACTGAACCTCTGACATCCTTGTGTAGTATTGGTGAGATAATTACCTGGGTAGAGGCGTAGCATAAAGGATGCAAGTAACAAAAGTGGACTCAATTGGCTCTTTCAGCCTGAAATGGGCTTACGTGATAATCCATTGAAATGAGCCACTCCGGGGCTGATTAACTAAAACTGTCACCAAAGATCAATGTATTCCATGCGGTCTTGGACCCTGGCTGGTGCTGGGGACAGATGGTGGCCGCAGCTCCTCCCCACACTCAGCTCCAGCGAAGGGAGCTCTCACCCCGCGCTCCTCTTCTGTAATGAGAAAGTTTCTAGAACTGGAACTTTTGTCCAAGTTCCTCAGCTCCCGTGTCTCACTGGTCAGAACTGGTTGAAATGCTCGCTTTAAACTCATTGCTGGCCAGCCCTTCGATTGGTGAGAACGCATGCCGGGGTATGGAGCCGGAGGAATGAAGTCTGTGCCTAAACCAAACCCGAGTCTGCGGGAGAAAAGGGGGCCGCTGGGAGTGTCCGCTCCCAGGGCTCAACTTCTCTAGCTCTTAGGTCCCTGGATGGCTTCCTGAAAGACAAGTAGTGACACACATGTGCGTGTGTAAGTCACATAAACACACGTGTGTCAGACTTGCCAGGTCTTACTTCATGTGGTTCTGAAGGCAAATGCCAGACCATTCATCGCCAACACTGAGATCAGACCATGGCTCCTCCCTTTCTGAGCGCCCTGGGCAGAGTTCTGGGGTTCTGTATGTACCAGGCCTTTCGTTCCAGTCTATAAGGATGTCTGCCACACTGATGTTGTGCCAGGCTGGCCTGAGGGGCTGCTGGAGCGCGCCGCTTTGAGCTGTGTGGGACCCATGGGTGGCCATTGTGCCACGATGAGCCTTACATTTTCAGCCTGTGGTGCTGGTGTCCAGCTGTGTCTAGACTTGCTAGCTGGGCAACCAGCGTGTCTCTACAGGGCCTTAGTCCCTCCCCCAAGACCCTGTCATTCACACATGCCTCGTTGCTGATCTGACAGCACTTCCCTACCCACATAGGTGGGCATTTCACTTTCTGCGCATGCTTGATCTCAGCTAGCTCCAAAGCATGCGCATGTCTACCGATGGCCGCCCTTGGATGGCTGTGGGGGGGTCTTCCCTCCTGAAGCCTGATGTGGAGCAAGACAGCAGGCAGGTCATACGACCTCAGCTTCTGTGGATCTGGGCAGGGCTCCAAGAGGCCACTATTTACAGCTCAGCCTGCAGGCTTGTCTCCAGGAACACGCCCTTTCTGAAGAGCAGCAGTGAGTCGGTGTCCCTAAAACACCCAAGGCATTTTTCCTGCGGTCACTTAGCCATTTGGAATCTCATGTGGAATTGGCATTCTCACATGATCCTGCAGTGCGACAAAGGAAACCAGCCTATGACTTTCAGTGGCCTTTGGAGAAGGCTGGAGCCAGGTCAGAGTGACCCTGAGGCTGCACTGTCGGTAGTTATGTGGTTTGGGATGTGCACCGCAGTTAGAAACCAGAGCATCTGGAAGGACGGGGCGCTCAGTGGGCCGTCCATGCTCCGTGCCCTCCCTGTGTGCCAGCCTTCACTTGACTTGAGCTTCTAGCCGCAGATTTGTTCCTGTCGTTCTGGGAGAGGGATGCCCTCATTCTTCACCAGGGAGGGCCATGTTTGTGTGGGCTCAGGGCAGCGGATGCTCCTGTCCCTGCCAGAGACCCTTTTCACTGGGCCTGGGGACCCTAGAAACTCATTTTACTGGGGGCTGTGCAGCTGACAGACCCTCTGGGCAAGGAGGAAGTGGCTGCATACCAAGGGCTGCTGGCTTGTGCGACGCAGCCACGGTTGGGGTGCAGCTGCTCCCGCAGGCTCAGGCTGTGTGTTAGCCGCACCTGGGACATGAGGCTCCCTTAGTATGGGAGCAAACATGAACCAAATTGCTCCTTCAAATATGTAGACTACTCTAAAAATTAGCTTGGTACTGTTCGGGGAAGTTGATCTCACAGCCCAGCAGTGTTGAGATCTGTTCCCAACATGGGGGGAATCTTAGAAATGTCAGATGCCAGACAGCTCTTGTGTACACCATGTGATCGTAGTTAACTCAGAAAGCAACAATCAGTACGGGTATTTGGGACATGGACTTTAACCATAAGCCGATCTCCTGGACGAGGCAACGTCAGTGGGGAGACAGGGCCTGCTGACCTCCACCAGGCCTGGTTTCAGGTCCTACGTCCCAGCTATGAGAAGACCGCTGGAGCTGAGAGCACACCCCGAACACCAGGACCGGCAGGAAGCTTGGGTTTGGCTTGAAACAGGGAATGATGTGTTAGGTGCATTCTAGAAAGTTCACCAGGCAGCTTTGCATAGTGCCTTAGAAGGGGCCAGAAATGGAAACGGGGCAGAGACAGTTCAGTGTGCGGAGAAGACAGGTGGGCGCTGTGCTGGCCAGGCCAGCTATGGATGGTCAGAGCACTGACTGGAAGTCACACGCCCCACTGGCCACGCCCACCAACCAACCACGCCCATGCGTCCCGCCCACCAGAGACCACACCCTCAACTGGCCATGCCCTCATGTCCCACCCACCCTCTGGCCACGCCCCCATGCTCCATAGTCACTGGCCATGCCCCCCATGTGTCCCGCCCACCAAAGACCACGCCCTCCACTGGCCACGCCCCCTGGGCCCTTGTCCCTCCTGGTAAAAGCAGTTTCTGTTCCTTTGCAGTGCAAACCTCCCGGGAGCCGGGCTGGCTGGAAGGGACGCTGAACGGCAAGAGGGGGCTCATTCCACAGAACTATGTCAAGCTGCTGTAGCTCCGGGCCCCTCCCCCGCCCCTCCACCGATCCCGGCACCCACCCCCCACACGCCACATCCACACTCCGGAGTCTGGGGTCACCGCTGGCACCCCAGGGCCGGGCGGCTCGGCAGAGTGGACGGTGCACTGGGCAGCCGCGTCAGGACTGGTGATTTTGAGTTATCCGGGCGCCACAGCATCGGAGGGAAGGCAGCCCTGCCGTGTCCCCGACGGGGCGGGGGTGGGGTCCCAGGCCCACGGAGGAGCCTCCCCTCTGCCCCGCCCTGGGCAGGGCGCAGGGCGCAGCCCAGCAGGCCCAGGGGGCTTTTCCAGGCCTGCTCCCCCTGACCAGCCTCCTGGGCACCTCTCGCCTATTTATAGCAGCTTCTGGTCGGTGCTCCCCACCTGTGTGCTGTTAGCCCTGTGTACAGGAAATAAAACGTTATTTACTACTAGTCTGATCTGGCCTGATGTGGAGGGGAGCATGGTGGAATTCACAAGCCTGTCACTCGGGTGATTTGGCAGCCCCTGGGTGGAAAGCCATGGTGCTCGAGTGGTATCATGCAGTCGCCGGATGGCTATCCTGTCTACCACAGGACAGGGCACCTGCTGGGGCTTGGCCCTGTCCCCACTCATGGTGGAATCCTGAGAGGCTGCTGCTGCCTCCCCCGGCCTTCCCCTCCCCAGAATGAGCAGGACTGGAGCTGGGGTGGTTCAGACATGAGCTGTCTGTGTGCCCACCAGACCTCGCGGCCAGCTTGCTCAGTAGCTCCCTCCCAACCACCAGCCTCATCGGATGAGGCTCAGCTTTAGGAGGGCAGAGGCCAGCGGCTCGGGACCCCAGACCTTCCATGCATCCCCAGGTGGCAGCCCTCTTTCCCCTCGGCATCTTGATCAGCTCGGGCTGAGCAGCCTCAGCCAGGCCTTCCCTTTATGCAGAGCTCAGTGCTGTAGGCCTCACCATGCTGCAGCCAGCCCTGTGCCAGGGGGTGGCCACGTGTCCTGAACCTGTCATCGTGCGAGAATTACCCAAGGCCCAGAGCCAGTAGCTCATGTCCAGAATCCTAGCTACTCAAGAGACTGGCATCGGAGGACTTGAGGTTCAACACCAACTACAACAGACAAATTCAAGACCAAGAAAAAGCTGTAACCAGAGGCATGGCTCAAATAGTAGTGTGCCAGCCATGAGTGAAAAAGCCAAGCACGAGCACAGTGCCCTGACTTCCAGCCTTGGTGTCCACACTTTTTTTTTAAAGAATCAGAAGGAAGGTGTGTCACCATCTCTTCTGATGTCACCTCAGGTGACAGCTTACCTCATGTGGTCTGTTACCTCATGTGGTCTGCATCGGGGTGTCAAGTCTGGAGTTCTGCTTTGAATCTGATAATTCCCCCCAAAGACTTGTGTGCAAAGGTTTGGGCTGTGGCTGCCGGTGACACTCTTTGCAGGTGGTTTGAGAGGCGCTACCTAGGTTATGTCAAGATCAGGGACCTTGTTCTCTACCGTTCTCTCTCAGTCTTGACCACAAGAGTTCACTCTGCCTCAGGTCTCTGTCAGATGGTGCCTTTCCAAAGCCCAGCCCGTGCTACAGCGAGCAGCCCTGAGACCCGAATCTGAGCAGCTTGTCCTCAGAGATTGGGCAGCACCCTGTGTTCTGAACGGTCATGTCCTGTCCTACTTGGCTGCCGAAGGGGTGTAGAAGAGAAACGTGGCTGCTGAGAAGAGCCTCCATGTTTGGCTACTTGTATGAAGTCGTGTGCAGGAACAGGCACTGGTGGACAGGCGTTGCGGGCTCGGCACTGACCGTGTCCCCAGCAGAATGCCTAACTGGTATGCCCCAGGGGACATTCGACATGCCACAAGACACGATCTGCTCATTTAAGGTACCCCGGGTTCACAGCGAGGTGTGCCATTCCCCAGTGTGCTTTACGACCATGAATGCTTGAAGTCACCAAGTCCGGCTCTTCCTGTCACCTTTGGTAGAATAAATCATCACCTACAAAAGCAATTCACTCCAGAGGTTTGGAGTTGAATAGAAGCAGAGAGTCCGGCGTGGAGTGTGCTTAATGGCTGGCATTTAGCACCTGTGCAAATACTTGAGGCAGAGTAGGAGCAGCTGGGTCAAAATCAGGTGGCTGAGAACACGAAGAGCCACAGGTGTATCAGACTACGGGAGAAACTTGCAAGTCATGCTCCTAGCAACACGTATTGTCCAGATGAGGATGGGACTGACTGGTAGGGCAGGTGGATTGGCGACTCCAAGCTTTCACCCCACCCTAGATCCATGTTCTTTTATAAAGAGCCCTCGCTGATTGCACCTGACCCGCCAGAAGCAAGCTTGATGCAACCAGAGGAATGGGAGGTGTTGGACTCCCAGTGTCTTCTCAGAGCCCTGCCTGTGCCCAGGCTGGCTAGCTGGAGGATGAGAGTCTACACGGAGCAGGGCCAGACACACGAACAAGTCCAGCTCTGCCACAGCCTGGCCAGGATCGGAAGGCCACTACGAGCCAACTCACTGACTCCCAATGGAGGAGCTAAATAACCAAATTGCGGACTGAGGCGCTAACAGCCTACTACTTGGCCACACACTTCGCTTTGCTTTGGACAGCCTTGGTGAATACTGAGATTATGGCTGAGGATGCTTTACCCAACATTAGTTGGAATGACACTGTTTTAACTGCTGAGAAAAATGCCGCCCTAACCACCAGGTGGCTTTCACTTCAAGGGCCCCGAGATGCTTTCAATCAAGTCGTTCAGTCTGTGCATCCTCGCACAGCGTATTTTTCTTAAGTATGTTAGCACTGACGTTTGCGTAAAGGGACAGCATCTTCTATTTGCAGTGAACATGCAGAAGGGAACGAGAGCCTTGTACACACAACAGGAGGTTGGTTTTACGGCTGTGGTGCTCTCAGCCGGCAGAGCAGTGCTAATGGTTCCTAAATGTGGATTCTTTGGGCCTGGGAGCACGTAAGATAAATTCTTAACATGAAATAACAGTTGAGCTGACCCAGGAGAGCTCGCCAGCGTCCACCAGAGCCAGGATTCTTTTGGGTTGCAAGTGAGGAGCTCTCGGCAAAAACCCTCTCTCTGAACAGGTGGTTTCATAAATTCTGTAAATATCAATGTGCTCTCACTTACAAATGTTTTACAAGATAGGAAAAAAAAAATCCAACCCAGTCTTTTCCTGCCCTGTGTTCATGGCTCTGCTGGGTTTTAGAGTTACAGCTGCTGTGTTCAAGAATTGACTTTGTTGATGGAAAAGTTTTCCTGCAAGCAAGTCGTTTCACTGCTCCCCTGTTAAATGACACGTGTATTTGGGTTGATGTAGTGGGAAATAAAGGTTCTGTATTTTAAAATGAACTGGCTGTCGGGCACCAGGGCCTCATGCTGTCACCCCCTAGCTACTCAGGAGGCTGAGAGCTGAGGATCGTTATTCAAAACCAACTCCCAGCAAGAAAGGCTTCTCTCCAATTCACCAGCAAAAGGTCAGAGGTGAAGCTGAACACCAGCCCTTGAGTAGAAAAGCCAAGTAAAGGCACCAGCCCGGCAGCTGGGGCACTGTTCCTCACACACCCACAAACCACGGGATGCTGGTCATGGCTAGCATTCTTTCATGTCCATGTTTCTGAGCAGAGTCAAGGGGAGAAGCTTATGGAGTGGGACTCCCAGGCTGCTGGGGGGCTGAGCACACATGGGGAAGCACTGAGGAGTCAGATGGGCATTGGGCGTGCACTCATGTGCTGCTCGGTGTGGAATGAGCCTGTGTGTGTGGACGGTGGAGGCAGTGCGTGTGTAGATGCGCTCATTAACACAGGGCTCCGCGGAGAAGTGGAATAGCAGAGTAGGCAGAAGTGAGGAGGCCCAGGCCGGCCTCCCGCGCAAGGCTCTTTCTGCACGCCAAGCCTGTGCCCCATCTGCCGTGGGCAGAAAGCAGCAGCACTGGCATGGCGCCGGTACCTGCGCACCTGCAAATGAACTGCTTCCCAAACAACCGGCGATGAAAGTAAAGGATTTATTGTGATCTGCTTACAGTCCTTTGCAAAGACAGACATGTTTTTGCATAAAGATATAAATTGCTTCATTTTAAACTAGTTTAGTGTTTCTTTTTTAATTATATGAAGAAGTTTTGGTGAATTATGAATTGTACCAAACCAAGGTATTTTCCTTTTTTTTTTTTAAAGAGCAATATGGTACAAAAATAAGAGCAGACAGACAGGTTTGGACTGGGACAGGCATTGAACAGTGAAATTTCAAATATGGCTTTGCTGTTTCATCAAGCAAAGTTGCCGAGACACACACATGAAGAACCAGTCACTTCCTTAATGCCAGGAACGGACGCAGACGGCCTCCATCTCGAACCCGGTGACGCAGAAATCCCAATTTCATAAACATCTGAACTCGAAGCTGCTTTCCTGGCCGTTTCTGTCTTCCAGAGCCTCTCGGTCTGCAGATGGTGGGTCTGTGGCTTCCGATCGTAGTTTTCAAATAGCTGTGCTGGAAGTGGACTGCGCGGAAAGATCTGCCTAGAAACTAAAATCGGGAAAGTTGCAAATTATGTCAGAAAAGCTCCTCCCTCTGAGTGCAACTTTTCGCAGGTGTCTTTTGAAAGACAAGGTCACGTGGCTGGCAGGGGAACCCTGGAGAGTGGGGTTCCCAGACTGCTGCCTGCCCGGCCTCCAGCTTGAGCTACAGCTTTTAGCTATTGGAAAATAATGTGATTTCACTGAGCATCGGATGGTTATCACCACCGCTTTAAAAAGATTAATTTGGCCTCTATTCAAAGTAGTTCATTTAGTGCAATCACTGGGAAGTTTCCCCAAAGATACACAGCGTTGTGATTTGGGGGAGAATAGGGGGCGGGAAGAACCTCATAAATTACATCAGTGCCAAACGGATTTGTGAATTTAAAAAAAAATTAGTGCCACTGTCTTGCTTCGATCATCTGTAGTGTTTTTGTTTTTCTCCAAAACGGTTTATGTATAAAATTTCTTTTTTAAAACCTACCTTAAAAAAAAATCTAAAAACCCTCTAGTGATCTGGTCTCCTCCCCACTCCGACTAACCCAGCTAGACGTACCTCCCTGCGGCTCTGCCAGCCCACAGCGCAGGAGGCTGCCCCACCCCGCCACAGACAGACAGCAGAGCGCATGGAATTTGCTTTTCTCCCCAAAGGGGCAGGTTGGGCTTTCTGAAAATGGAAGGAGCGGAGCTTCCGGCCTCCCCCTGGGAGAGCAGATTCTGCTTCTTGTGGAAAGAGGGAGAGAGACAGAGAAGCTTCTGGAAAGCTGCAGCACTGCCCGATCTTCCGGCCCAGGGCACTGTCCAGAGACACCTGCGGGAGCCTCTGCCACCATGGGGCGCTGGGTGGTCCCCCCCTGTGGAAGTCGGGTGAGGCGGGAGCTGACATATGGGCTAGGACCTCCGTGCACCCCAAGAAGGAGACCGAGAACAAAACGAAGTACAGAAAGAAGTAGAAAGGCTTAAAGACAACCGAAGAGGTTTCAGTGTGGTTATTTACAACAGAGACTGTAAAATGGTAAGTCAGAGATGAAGCTAAAAAAGGCACAGCTTTTCCCTTTCTTAAATACACTGTAAACAGCTCATTATGCATGCAGAACATTTCACTTTACAAAAAAAAGTTTTACCTTGTTTAGACAAAGATAGTACTTAAATAGTCTCCAGCAAAATAGAATTCTTTCAAAAATACTTTCCCATTCATCCTATTAACCATTAAAGATTTTTGTTTCGTATGTGTCTCATTTACAAAAGTTCTTTATAGCTAATTTCAGGTCCTTCACGATTTATACATACAGTAATGTACAGCACAGCAAAAGACGGCAAAAAAATTATTCATAAAGCCAACACAATAGATACTAGAAATTGAAACCAAGGATTTGTCTTTAACATCTTATCCATTCTAATTAAATAATAAATGGACTGGAACCAGAGCGGCGGGTGTGGAGCCCAGGGACATGCCCAGACTGCGTCACGTGTTCTGTTATTACGCAACAGGAATCTGTATATATTTTTTTCTTTTTGTGTTTTTTTTAAATAACGAAAGAATATTAATGCCCCATATTGACTACACGTTTTATGTGCAAACCAAGGGTAAGCTTTGAAAAAGTCCATTAGTCCTTGAACCCTTTTAAAACAAGCGAACGATATCAGAAACTACATGGCATAGTTAAAACTTCCGTCTGTTAAAATATCAAAATCAGAGAGTTATTGACTAGATATGGCTTTTCATCCAGAGGAACAAGAACGTGTTTCTAAGCGTTGGGGGACGGAGAGGGAAGAACTTTGAGACTGCTCAGCTCTCCCGCATCCATGACACCACCCCCGACGTGATTTGAAACTTGAGAATCTGATAACAAGGCTGAATCAACCATCATGTTAAAAAAAAACATGATTTCTTGGCCAGGTGCCGGTAGCTCACACCTATAATCCTAGCTACTCAGGAGGCTGAGCTCTGAGGATCGAGGTTCAAAGCCAGCCCGGGCAGGAAAAGTTCTGTGAGACTCTTTTTATCTCCAAAAACCACCAAAAAGCCAGAAGTGGAGCTGTGGCTCAAGTGGTAGAGTGCAAGACTTGAGAAAACAACAACAACAAAAAGCTCAGGGCAAGCACACAGGCCCCGAGTTCAAGTCCCAGTACCGGCACACACACGAAAATGATTTCTTGGGTCCTTCATGGGTATGGAACAACACGGGGAGACTTAAGGCAAAGCTCTTCTGGTCAGACGTCTTCCTCACTTCCGGTGGAAGTAGAGTGCCCTGGCATTCCCGGACTCCACCTTGGGCAGCTGGTCGCTGATGATCTCCACCAGCATGGCCGGGAACTCCACCCTCAGCGCCTGCGACTCTCGGAAGGTGTAGAAGCAGAACTCCAGCAGGTCACTCACCAGCTGCAAGGCACAGACACAGGCAAGGGATGTGACCTGGGCCTTTGCTCCCACTGGTCCCCACACAAACGGGAGCTGGCTCGGAGCTTCCCCTGCCCCCCATCTCGAGGCCACCCCTAACCTAAGGCTACAGGAGCTGCTGATGGCCCTGCTCACTCCACAGCCATCGGAGACATTCACTGCTAGAGAACCCCGTGCCCCACGCAGGCCCTGGGCCCAACGTGCAGAGCTACTGGCTCCCAGGCCTGTTAACCGCCCATGCCTGCCCTGCCCTCTCCCTCCCGGCTTAACTCCAGGGCGCCACCTTGAGACCCTGACTAGATGGAACCCAAGCAGATCCATCCAGAGGCCTGCCTGCGTCAGCCTGTGAAAAGTTCAAGCTAGGATGGCTTCCTCCTCCACGGAGAAGAGCGGGTAACAGGTTAGCGGAGCTCCGCGTTGAGGTGGACAGCCCTGGGGCGGACACTAAACCAGCAAGAGAGAGATTCAGACAGCTGCCCAAGACAGAGGCCAGAACCTGGGAAGGTTCACAGACGAGGAACGATAGCCTAGAAAGAGAAGAAACCAAATGCCCTGGGGTCTGCCCGGCCCCTCACAGATAGTGGGGTGTGTGTGTGTGTGTGTGCGCGCGCGTGCGTGTGTGTATGTGTGTGTGGATGCTTGTGCCCTGGCTTGTGCTCACTCGGATAACAGCGTGGAGCGTGAACACAGCCTTGCTCTGGAGAAGCTCTGCTGCTCGGAGGGCAGAGGGAGCAGCAGCTGCCGACTGCGGTGTTCGTGCTGGGGCCCAGGCTCGTTCATCACCGCCACGGAAGCTCTGGCAGAGCTCGGTGCCCGGCTAGAACCAAAGCCAAGGCTGCAAAGCCCACGGAGGGCCGAGGCCCATCTTCAGGAGAGAGCTGCGTACGGGCCACCCCATTCAAGTGACAGAGCTGGAGGGCTGGCTCAAGGAGTAGAATGCCGGCTGGCAAACATGGAGTCCTCAGTTCAAATTCTAGTACTGCCAAGAAAAGTGATAGATAGTAGACCCTCCCTTTATCAAATATACTCGTAGCAACACGGGGTGTAAGAAATAGGATAAACCAAGGTACTTTCAATGCATTCAAAAGACCATAGTTACTCTCTAGCAATAGATCCCAAAGAAATACAAATAGCTGAAATTTAAATTCAACTGCAAAACACTGATTACCAAAAAGCTCAATGAGATCTGAAAGCAACGGTTAAATGAAATGCAGTATATGAATGAGATTTAGCAGCAAGCATACCAACCAAACCTAGGGAATTAACAGATCAATAATCTAACTGAAGAGATAAGAGTTAAAAAAAATCTCAATGACATTGTCAAGTGGAAGAAAATGTATGAACTTGAGGCAGGTGTTGTGGAATATGGATAAAAATAAAAGAAAACTAAAAGAACAAACTGGATTTTTGAATGCTTGCAGTTAAAAGGGAGGAGGAGGAAGAGGAGGAAGAAGAGAAGGAGGAGGCAGCAGTGGTGGTTAGTGAAGGCCTATTCAGTGAAAAGAGCAGAAAAGATCTTCACCTTAGGGTATTGTATCAACCAGTCAAAACTACAGGACAAAGAAGGAATTTAAGTATCTGTCTGAAAATAGGACCAGTCTCCATCATAATAATACCGCCATAAAGTTAACACCAGATGTCCCATGGAAACCCCGTGTCCTAGAGGAAATCGGACCAATCCCGAAAAATAACTGCCAACCAAATTCCTACTATGCCCAACAAGACTCTCATTTCAAGAAAACCAACACATGGATCTCACAATCATCAGACCAACCTTACAAAAGATGCTTACAGGAATCTCACATCCTGACCGGCAGGGAAGCAGACAGAGTATAGCTAGCACTAGAAGAGTAGGGACACAAAAGAGAAACAGAAGACAGCCACACATTGTTAATACAACAACCATTAAGTCACAAAGAAGAAAAAGACAGGAAGAACAAAGAAAATTCAAAGCAACAAGGAAAGTCAACAAAATCGAATTCTTCCTATTCCTACAGAAGTCAGATGCTAGTACATGATGTGCACACCACAGAATTGAAAGGATCGAAAGTCATATTCCAAGCAAACAGAAACCTGGAAAAAGTAGGAGTCGCTATATTTATATCTGACAAAATAGAGTTTAAGATAAAAACTGGCCGGGCACCAGTGGTTCAGGCTTGTAATCCTAGCTACTCAGGAGGCTGAGGTCAGACGATCTTGGTTTGAAGCCAGCCAGGAAAGTCCCTATGAGACTCTGATCTCCAATAAACCACTCACAAACCACAAGTGGTGCTGTGGCTCAAGTGGTAGAGCACTAGCTTTGAACACAAAGCAGCTCAGGGTCAGCACCCAGGGCCTGAGTTCAAGCCCTACAAATGACCAAAAAAAAAAAAAAAAGAAAAAAAAAAGGCAATCTATGTGAAAACATAAAAGCATATAAAGCAGTAATTCAATAAGAGACAGACTAGTCATACATCTATATGCATCTAAGTGTGGGAACACCCAATTTGGACAAACAAACAGACTTGAAGAGAGATGGAAGAGCCATAGAACTGGATTTCAACACCCCACACCCTCATAAACCAACAAATCATCCAAACACAACAATGAACAGAAAATCATCAGAGCTAAATATAGTATAGATCAAATGGACCTAAAAGACATTGACAGAATATTCCACCCAACACCTGAAGAATAGCATTCTTACCATCTGTGCATGGAACCATCTTTAAAACACACCATATAATAGACACACATCTAATCCTAATAAATTCAGGAAAGGGAGACCACGTCTTGGTATTTTCTTTTCTGCTCTCACTAGGCATGGCGGTGCACACCTGCAATCCCTGCTACTTGAGCGTAGGAGATACGGAGATCACGGCTCAGGACCTGCCTGGGCAAAACGTTACCAATGCACAGTTGAGTCTGGTGGTTTGCACCTGGAACCCCCCTCTCCAGACCCACCTAACAAACAATCTGCAAATGGTGTACTCGTACAAGGACTTGTTGGGTATATTCGCACAGGGACCTGTTGGGTGTACTCGCACAGGGACCTATTGGGTGTACTCACACAGGGACCTGTTGGGTGTACTCACACAGGGATCTGTTGGGTGTACTCGCACAGGGACCTGTTGGGTGTACTCACACAGGGATGCGTTGGGTGTACTCACATAGGGAACGTGTTGGATGTACTCACACAGGGACCCGTTGGGTGTACTCACACAGGGACGCATTGGGTGTACTCACACAGGGATGTGTTGGGTGTACTCACACAGGGACGTGTTGGGTGTACTCACACAGGGACGCGTTGGGTGTACTCACACAGGGACGCCACACAGGGACGCATTGGGTGTACTCACACAGGGACGCATTGGGTGTACTCACACAAGGACGCATTGGGTGTACTCACACAGGGATGTGTTGGGTGTACTCACACAGGGATGTGTTGGGTGTACTCACACAGGGACGCGTTGGGTGTACTCACACAGGGACGCGTTGGATGTACTCGCACAGGGATGCATTGGGTGTACTCGCACAGGGATGTGTTGGGTGTACTCACACAGGGATGTGTTGGGTGTACTCACACAGGGACGCATTGGGTGTACTCGCACAAGGACGCATTGGGTGTACTCACACAGGGACCCATTGGGTGTACTCACACAGGGATGTGTTGGGTGTACTCGCACAAGGACGCATTGGGTGTACTCACACAGGGACGCATTGGGTGTACTCGCACAGGGACACATTGGGTGTACTCGCACAGGGACACATTGGGTGTACTCACACAGGGACGCATTGGTTGTACTCACACAGGGACGCATTGGGTGTACTCACACAGGGACACATTGGGTGTACTCACACAGGGACGCATTGGGTGTACTCACACAGGGACGCATTGGGTGTACTCACACAGGGACGCATTGGGTGTACTCACACAGGGATGCATTGGGTGTACTCACACAGGGACGCATTGGGTGTACTCACACAGGGACGCTTTGGGTGTACTCACACAGGGACGTGTTGGGTGTACTCGCACAGGGACGCATTGGGTGTACTCACACAGGGACGCATTGGGTGTACTCACACAGGGACACGTTGGGTGTACTCACACAGGGACCTGTTGGGTGTACTCGCACAGGGACGCATTGGGTGTACTCACACAGGGACCTGTTGGGTGTACTCACACAGGGACACATTGGGTGTACTCACACAGGGACGCATTGGGTGTACTCACACAGGGACGCATTGGGTGTACTCGCACAGGGACGCGTTGGGTGTACTC